GTGCCCTGTGATAGGTGCGATAGCTGGATAAGCAGATAAGAAAACGTACAGAAGGATGTAGTTACAACACATGGTACATATTTATGTCATCAGTTTTCATCACAACTCTACTGATACAAATTTGGCAGTGATCACCAGATATCTTGGAAGAACTTCACAACAACACTTAATTTTGGAATTACTTGCTCATCGACTATGTACAAGCGTAAATTGGTTTGCCCAAATAATTCTGGCAATGGTATTTTTGTTAAAAACTTGTGAAAATTACAAGAAAATCAGATATGGTATAATTAAATATGACTCCAGCTTTTCCCTTCGAGTGCTTCTGAAGTGTCTAGGGATCCCAGTCATGTTTACCTTGGTTGTTGCTTTAAGACTCAGTGCCACCCGATGCTGCATCACATTGTCACCTTAAGCATCATGGTGGAGTTCTGAAAGAACCCAGCATGCGCTTTTGGTACAAAGTCCCATCGGACAGGCAAGGTAGAGATGAAGGGTAGACTAAGGAGGAGGAGAGAGGATGCTATGTGGAGCATAGAGAGCCTCACTGACGTAGAGAAGGGTTGTGTACTGAGTGGTGGAGAATAGGAGAGGAGGGGGGCTGTAAAGAAAGAGAGAGGGATAGTCTGCTTACAAGCACGCTACAGTACACTTCAGTGTTACACAAGAGAGAGAGCACACCATGACTGCCTAGCACAGAGAGAGCAAGCAAGAGAGACGGGGAGTGTTGCTCTCCTACCTCTATCTGAGTAAGTATGGCGCTATCTCTTCTACATCAAAATTCCTTGCCTCAAATTGCTCAGACCTCACAGCAGGTCTGATTTTCAGATGATAAAAGATTTTGGCTGACTTTGAAGAGAATGGAAAAATCTTTCCTCGTTAAATTTTGATTGAAAGTTTGAAGAGTGGAGTTGTTTGCAGTAGTTAAAGTGGGGGAAGACTGAATTTTGATCTCCATTTGACCGCTGTGAACAGATCTGATGGATATCCAGATTCCTCACCCTCAGCACTCACATTTCACTGGAAATGTTGCACTAAAGCAGAAAATGGCATTTAGTGCAGTTGTGTGAAAGAGGAGCAATGGTGGGAAGCTGTGGGCATGCTCGCAAGCGTTTCTTTCTCTGCTGGTGGGGGGAAGGAGTGCATTTGGGACCGCTAGGCTTCCTGTGTGGGGTCAATTAAATACTGCATGAGACAGAGCACTAAAAGCCTGTCCCGCGAGGAGCCAAGTGCTTTGTGTGTGTTTGTGTGTGCACGTATATATATGTGTGTGTGCTGGTGCATCAGTGTGCAAAGCCTTGATTAAATTTGATGAACCAGCAATGTTGAGAGGACCACAAAGGTTCCAGTTCCAGCTTCTTTGAGGTCCTCTCCAGAATCTGTGCACCGGTGTTCTCATTGTTATCTTGATAAAAGAAAAGACAATAGCCTACAATGTGCTTTCATGTATCCATAGGACTGGTTTAATCTAGAAAATCCATCTGTATCTATCTAATTCGCTTTTGTTAACTGACATCTTTCCTCGCCTACACCGTGTAGTCACTGAATAGTTTTGAGACTTAAACGTGAGCGAAAACACTTTTTTTCAATGTAAAGCTGGATTGCGTGAGTATGTAGGCCACCATTACATATTGATAAGTCTGAAATCCCCCCCAGTTAGCTCGGTGCACTAAACAAGACACACCAATTAGGCCCAACTCAAATCTAAAGCCTAAATCAGGTCATCTTTTAACAAACACATCTGACTTAATGAAGGATGCAGTTCTGTTTAATTCTGCACTGCACCGTCGGTACACAGCTTTATGTGGGTTAGCTCCAGCCTCTCTGCGCTTTGAAGCAGTTTGGTGAAGTCAGGTTGAGGGATCCCCGGGGGGATGAAAGTCTAACGATGCACAGTGTAGCCGGCAAGGCCAAGTTGTCAGCATGGATGAAAGATATTCCTGGCTACGCTCGCTGCGTCTTCTTCTACTGTATGCCAGCGTCACTGACAACCCATCCATAACTAGTCACATATTTACATCGTCAGTGTTGTATTCGCAGCACTTATCTGTGCAGCTGACAAATGCAAGGTGTATTCACTCCTTAGGTCTCCTTAAAGAGTGGAGTTGGTGTTGAGAGAACAGCTGTTTATCAGTGCGTCCTCATAGGCTGCAGGGTTTTCCAGAGGCTCATTAAAGACTGGGATAAAGTATTCTGGGGTAACATTAGAGCAGGAGGAGGGTGGAGCTGCAAAGGACAGTATGGAGTATCAATCTGTGTGCCTCTCATATTGATCCACTCTGCCCTACTCTGGTTGCATTTCTCTCTGGCTCTGAATGATCCACCTTTCCCTGTACTGCTGCCTCAGCTAACACTTCTCACAGAAAGTAAGGTGCCTTTTCATGAGTTACAAGGCCAGAAAGATGAGCGGTTGACTGCAGAGTTCCAGCATGTTAATCTCCATATTTGTCGTTAAGCTCTGGAGCTGTTTTTTTAAAGCCCAGATGGCACAGGGCTTCTCACATTGTTTACAGAACAAGAGTATGGTTGGAAAAAAGAGAGACAGATAATCATAGAAAGTAACGGCGTGCGAGAGTATCAAATAAAGATCTGCTTGTGCTCAAAAACTGAGCTGGTTTAAAATCTAATATTTAACTATGAGTTTTGTTTTTTGCCTTTTTTGGATTCAGTACTTGGATACTTGGAGGCCACTGATAAAACTACTTTCAGTGCTTCTTTATTCACAATGGGGTCACCACAGCAGGTAGCTCCGCATATTTGATTACGCAGACTTTTACACTGAGTGCCCTTCCTGATAAAAGGGATCCAAAGGATTTGTGTCTCCTTCCAGGACTTAACAGAGGATTTTTTACTTGTCAGGCGAAATGTGTGGAGCGTCACACTACGCCCTCAAAGAATTTCACTACCAAAACCATATTATTATATTTTTTGACACCTGCTTCAAGATAAACAAACCATATATACAAATATAAAATTACTTTAAAATGTACACTTTGAGTTTCTGTCTTTCTCTAAATGAATTTCATTTTTTGTCTTCATTGGCTTGTGTAAAATCTGAACAAAATTGCTATTATAAGGTACAACTGCACCACAATATTAAAAATAGATACAATATAGATAAACCCACCTTTACTGCAGAGACAGCGCACATGTGCATGCACAGTTATACAGATCCCTGCTCTTGTTTCCCATATTGGCTCATTCATATTCAGACTGTCTGTCTGGCTTCAGTGAATGTAGCTGAGCCATTCTCAAATCTGCTTTACTCTTTCTTTAAGGAATTCATCAAAACTCACTGAACTTTAACTTAAACAGCCCTCGGCTATCTCCCCACCGCTGCCAGGCCCAGTCACTGTTGGGAGGAGTGTGAGGAGAGGAGAGCTATATTTAGAGCACCTGAACAGCAAATTAATAACAAAAAAAGAGACATATTCTCTTAATCTTGTCTTCCTGTTCTAGTCTGACTGTGTTCTTCTCTGCCTGTTTCCTTCAAAAATCTCTGTATTTTTTCATTTCTCCCACAATTTCCTGTCATCTTTTTCTCTTAATCTACCTCCACCCATTTCGCTTGAAAATATAGAGCTCTAAGAATCAACAGTAGCAAAGCAGACTAATGATTTGACATTAAAAATGTATTGAAAACTCGCATGTTTAAGTTCTCTTTCTGTTGCGATGTAGTTCATATTAGCCTTTGCCTGTTTCTAGCCCTCTTTTTCATTCCTTCTAACTCTCTCTCCCTTTATGATTGTATGGTGCCATTACTCAGAGGCTGTTTTACCCACAGCCCTAATGATGGAAATATAGCTACCATATCTTCTCTGCTGAGGGATCGGAGAGTTATTGCAATAACTTTAATAATGTGTGTGTCTCTATGTGTGTGCGTGTGTGTGTGTTAATATGGTATGTGCTTCCCTGCTTGTAAAAAGCCACACAGAAATATAGCCCCAGGGCATTTTTTTCCTAAAAGCCTTGGCAGAGTGCACTTTCTTCATTCTTAAGCAGCGAAAGTTCAGTGAGGGTGAGAGAGCATGCATGCTGCCAGCACAATGGACCCCAAATCAGGGTCTTCAGTGCCTGGGGCAACGTATAGAGCAGGCATCCAGGCCTGGCTCGCCAGGAACGAGACTTTCTTCTGCAACGGAGACGTCTCTTTCTGGCTTATTAAGACATCTGATGGACTCTAGATGGCTGCTTGCTGACTCACCGATGCAATTCTGTTTTGTAGACTCATGCATCACCTTCCTGTCAGGAGGATGGTGCAGGGCAGGGCAAGCAGGCAAGCCCTACCCTACTCGCCCCATCTCGCCTTCTCTTCCTTTCTGCTTTCTGCATCCACATGTTCGCCTCTCTTTCATCAACGGCTTTACATCCTCTGCATTTCTGAGTGTTATTCATTTTGCTTTTCCTGTGCAATAAGGGAAGATACCAATTGGCAGAGGAATGACAATCAGAGACTATTTTTAAGCTTTCCTTTGCTCAGCCATTGTTATTTTTACTTATCGAGGCTTACAAGCTTATCCTTTGTTCTGCTTTATTTTTAGAAGTTCTCCCTGTGCCCAGTAAAAAATTATACACTGCACAGTGAGAGTAAACACCAGTCCAGCAATGTAGTTGTTAATTTTATATAGATATATGTGTATCTTTTTCTTAATACCTGAACTTACATAAGAGGGAGGTATGGAAAAACCTGAAAGGGTTGTGAATATGATGCTGGAGAGGGCTGCATGAGATTTGTGGCAGAGAAGGGCAACCCAAGGGAGAGCAAAGCTGAGCAGAGAAAAGATCTTTTTTTTTCTTTAAATTTATTACATGAAGTCTGACTTGCAGCTAAAGCAAGAAACTATACAATACCAGCATGCGGGCGTGTACACAACAGTGCTGCAGTCAGGGCATCAATTTTGTATAGGAAATGACTGTTGAGGCAGCGCAGCAGTGGTTGTGAAGCACTTAGGCAGCGCGCACCTCCCTCTCTCCCCACTGTTACCACGGGCTGAGGGGAGGAGGGTTCCGCTTTTTCATTGCAATGGGGGGAAGAAAGCGCTGGCAGGAGCATCATGTCTGCCTCCGACTCGAGCGCTACAGGACTCATCTGCAACAAGGTACGCTGTTAACCCTCCCCCTTATTTAACCACTCTGCATGCGATTCCAGCCTCTTCATCTACGAGTCCTCCATCGCTCTGCTCAGAGGCGTCTTCATTCTGCTTTTTTCCCTCTTCTTCTTCTCCCCAACCCTCTCACTCTTTTCTCAGCAGAAGTCTGTTCACTTCATTCACTTTTCCAGCATAGCCCCTACTTGTCCTCTCGTCCCTCCCTCCCTCTTTTCTTCTTCACACACACTGAACTGAAAACACACAGGCTATCTCAACTCCATTACTTTGCAGCGGTGCTTTTAACTAGTAGTTCAGTGGGTGGCCTGTCTGATGAATAATATGACTCATGACCCATTTATTTATGGCTTGTCTGTTTATAAGGTCATCCATACCAATAAATAGTATACCCCAGACCCGTTTGTGGGTCTGTTTTCCCTGTTGTCTACAATAATGTTTCATGACATTATTGTAAAAATGCAGCAGCAACTTCAACACTTCACTGTGGAATTCAAAAATAAAAGACTGAGGTATAATTTCTGGAATAAAAGACATAACAGTACTTTGATATGTACTGAACAATTAATGGAATAATGTGTATTTATACATCTGCATAAATATGTATCTTATTTTGCACAGATTGCCATAATATTGTTTATCTACTTCAGGCATGATGGCTAAGTATAAAAAGAGCAAACCATGGCTCTAACAGCTGGTTCATGAGCAAGGAAACTTGTTTTGTCATGTGCATGCTTCCCTCTGCTGGCAGGAATCTACAACTGCTGCTGTGTCATTATCACACGTTCCAGTCCGTAACATCTGGGGGATTTCTCTCGACACCCTCTTTGCCCATAACTGTCAGCTGCACTGTGAGCAGGTCTGTCTTTTTAAGGGTCCGGTCAGTCAAACAGAGTGAGGTGTGAGTTTGCACGGTACAGTAAAGCTGTTTCAACACTGAGACTGACCAGTGTGTCTGTGATTGTGTTAGATTCCACTCTTGGTCCTATTTTTGTGCAATCAGAACAAGGATTTATTTATTTTTTTTATTTTTTTACAGTGAGACAGAGTTTGTCAGAGACTGGAATAAGTAGTGAAATATATTCATGATTTTTTTTTTCTGATCTTGCAATATATTCGGTTTGTTAGAAATATGGATTGAAGGATGCATAAATATGAGGGATTACAACCATGGCTGTGTCATACATTAGATCACTTAACAGTTTATTTAAAAATTAGGATCAAGATTCATTATCTGCATTTAACCTATCTAGAGTATTAGGAGCAGAAGGACTGAAATCCAGGTGTAAGTCTGTACACTGGACATTAAACTAGCATCCAGCTTTGAAGCAACAAAGCCATTATGCTGTCACATTGACACTAAAGCTTAAAATGTAAAGGGTTTTTTTTTTTACTCATGCCCTTTAATATGCTTACCCATACTGATGAGTTGGAATTGGTACATGCATTTCAGCATCTGTTCCCATAATGGCTGGCAAAAGCTTATTTCCAAAGTTCCAGCTTTCTTATTTCTTCACTGACAGAATTGCAATAGAGGCAAAAGTCTGTGAAATTCTTCTGTGACTGGCTTTTATTGGCACTGCATCATGGGATGTATCACACTTGCCTTTGAGGCTGTGTAGACGATTCTCTACATACTAATTGGGTACATATGAATAGTTGGAAGGCACTGAGGAAGAAAGAGAATGAGAAGTAGTTAGAAAGACAGAAGCAAAAACACCCCAGAGGCTCCCCATACTATTAAAAGATAGGTTTAATGTGAGATTCTCAACTTCTGCCATGTATATTTTTACAAGGTTTGTGTGACGCAAAAGAAAATGCCTGGACAGCAGACAGCTGATATTATGTCTATGCAAAGATCTGGACAGTGACAAAGAGAAAATGACTGCTGTGGAGCCCTCCCTTCTTCAGCAAATCAAAGCAGTTAAATTAGACAACAACAGTACAGTTA